CGGCGCCTTCCCTCCTCCCACTTCTCCCTTCCGCTTCAGCAGGGAGCGCTGATTTTTCACCCCAAGGGCTTTGGGCAGGGGTGCTGCACAGGGAGAGGAGGACAACGTGCAGGGAAAGGCTGGGGAGGGACAATTTTGTGGTATGAAGGGAAGTGTGTCCCTCTGGGGCGAGGTACTTTAACCGAAGAGGCTCACCAGCACCTTGGCTTGAGCATGTGTTATACAAACCACGGCACTCTACAGTTTATGCGAATGACAGCCTTTTTTTTTTTTTTTTTTACTTCTCACTGGCAAAATTGCTCACCTTCTCACCTCATCAATGTCAACAGCTGGATGTGTAAAAGGTAGAGTGCGCAGGCATGCGGTAAACAGAATCAGAGCACGAGCATTTATTTCTCTTGTCTCTTGGCCATGGGAAAACTGCTGTGAAACGTGAAATCTCTGACAACCTTGACTGTTGCAGTCAAGGTCAAATGAGCACTAAATATCCTTCTAAGACTCTTCAGTATGTGAAGCTTGTCTTGGTTTAAGCGGTCCTGAAAGGTGAGAACAGTATCGGAGAACTGTTTCACACTTTGACTGTGTACATGTCCTGTTGTTGCTCACTATTTAATGTTAACAGTGTGAATCTATTAATTGGTTAGCTTCTTGGTGGGCTTGGGGCTTTGGGGTTTTTTTGGTTTGGTTGGTTGGTTGGGTTTTTTTTCTGATACTGTATTATGGTATAGCCATAGCCAATGATACCTTACCTGATTAGGATGTTATTCCAGTCCACCTCTTGTTCCTTGCAAGCAGTAGGAGCAGCTTGGCATGTTAGATATTTGCTCATGTTCACTTTTCCTTTTGGTGAAATGGATAATTATTTAGGGAGAATCTTTCCACCGAAAAAGAAATTTACATCTTGGTTCAAAGACAGAGTCCTTAGGAAAAATTACTATTTAATTTTTTTTTTTATATCACAGCTGCTTGTCTCAGGGCACTGGGTCACTAATTGAGTGCAAGCTTTATAAATGTTGTCTGTTCTTCCCCCACAGGGCATACAAAACCATTGAGGAAGATGACTTGAAGTTTCCCCTTATATATGGAGAAGGCAAGAAGGTGGGCACATTTGCTTTCCTCAGACCAAAGGAAGAAGGAATTCTGTGCTGTTTACCACTCAATTTAGCCTGTGGCAGTCCAGTGTTTTCCACTCAGTATCTCTTTATTTTATCGTTCTGACAGCTTGAAAGAATATCTTGGTTCTGTCATAAATCAGTCTCATGTCTGGGGGGATGGAGGGGAGAGCTCAACATACTAAAAAGCATTTTTATAGCAAACAGTCATTTGCTGTTCAGTTTGCTTTTGTTTTTCTTTCATTGTAAGTAGGCTACAATGAGACCATCTTAAATAATTGACTTAAAATGTTCCTGGTTTCATTGTAAAATATAACTAAGCTGGATGAAGATAGCAAAATACCTCATGTTTGCTGAAGACAAAGCAGGAGGATATTTAATAGTGCTCTGAGATGCAAAACTCTAATTTAGGAAGGGGAGGGATCAGGGCAGAATTTGGGAAGTATAACACCCCTTAACTGTATCTTCTTCAGATAGTGTACGTGAACTCACTGTTGAATTTCTCTGATGTGAATGCTGATAGCTTTTCTTGAAAGGGACAAACGAACCATTACGTTTGGGTGTACTTTGTTTCCAGTTCCGTGATTAAGAACGGTGAGATCATTAGTGCTGATCCCAGCAAGCTTAGCTGGATGCAGCAATAGGATCAATACAAGGACTCAGTGGTGTCAGTTTGCCGATATTGGTATGCTCGCTGTGTTTCTAAATAGTGCTCCCCTGCTGCATTAGGTTATTATCTCAATGCAAAAATACACGGTCTTCAAAATTAGTCCAAGTTTTGAAGGTTCAGACCTGCAGCTTATCTTTGAATTTGGTTAGGTTTGTAATTATTTGCAAAATGTTTCATGCACATCTTTTTAATTTACTTTCTTATTGCCTTATGGAGCCAGGGTTTAGTGAGACAAAATAATTTTGAGTCAGTTGCTTGCTGTTATTGATGCTGTGAGCTCCCTTGTTCAGAAGCTGTTGCGGCTAAACTAGAGTTTGGGGAAAGCGATACACAGTGAGCGAGGTTCCCTGTGAGGCAGTCTGCTTGGTCAATCTTTGCAGAAGCGTTAATGAAGAAGAGCCCAGCACCTTTTGGGAAATAGCTCATGTTGCAGAGCAAGGTGCCTGGGGAAGGAAGTGGTAGATCTGAGGTAACAGCAGACCTGCCGTGGACCGGCCTTCCACAGAGGAGAGCACTGTGGTCAGTGCCACCATCACCTGTGTGTTCAGCAATTTAAGGTGGCCTTTGGCACTTTTCCTTGGTGGAGGGAATATACGGCAATATGTCAATAGGAAGAGACCGCAGCTTTCTTAGGTGAGTAATTAGGTTCCTCATCCTTTTTATAACAGTATAACTTGCTGAAGGAATGCTCTCAGTGAGGCGACTGGGTTAGGTTTCCATAGTCCCCGTCCCTCACAGATGGTCACAGTCCAAGATGGGTGCACACAGGCTGGGATGTGGACAAATACAAAGCTTGCAATAATGAGGGAAATGGAGGTGCCATGAGTGTAAAAAGCTTTGAAGTAGATTAACTGTGTTTAAATCTAGAGTTTCCGGGTGAGAAAAGGGAAATCATCCCTAACTGTAGCAGTTATGGAGTAGGAATGCTGTCTCTT